AGCAGCCGGCGCAGCATTTTCTTCAGCGTCCATTTGTGTTCGTGACCGCGAACTCTTCGATTATAGAAATCCTTCGCATCTCCATCCAGGAACGACCCGATTATCGCCACTCGGTGAGCCCTAGGTACGTTTCCTAATTCGCAGTATCTATTGGACTCATCGACAAACTGTGTATACAGATCCGCGTTCTCCGATCCGTCATAACGTGCCGGGGGGTTTGGTTTAACCAACATCCTTCCCTTCGACCGGGCCTTGGACTTCCGGGATTTCCCCTTGTGTCCCCTGGCCCTGCCCCTTCCGGCAGACGATCCCGAGGTTGAACTCGAGCGGTCCGTGCTAGACTTCGAGCCTGAGCTCGAACTATCGGTATCCGAGCCCGAGTCGCTGGACGAATCGCTAGGCGGACCGCCCCCATCTGAATCGGAGTCACTATCCGAGGAGCTCGAACTGGAATCACCATCATCCGAGGGTTGGAGACTAACCCCCCGCAGGACACTAGTTACAAACCCAGCGGATCCCTTTGTCGACTTCGAACGCCCCTTCTCTACGCTCGGCTTCGGCGACAAGGTCTTCCTTTTACCGGGTGAGGTCATCGGCTCAGTTTTCCGTGGTTTCAGCTCCCGAGCCTCAGACAGGGACGAGGTTCCTCTGTTCCGATCCCGGTCCTCAAGCTCAGCGATTCTATCCCTCATTCGGGCGAATTCCCTCAGGAACACGTCGCGGTCGGCCAGTAGGAGAGCGCCATCGGGTGGGCGATGCCCCGCCATACTTATAGCACCGGCGTCGTTCCGGTCGGGTGTCCGACTGCTCTGCCCTCTTTTGGCCACTTCAAACGTCTGGAGAGCCGCTTTTTGCTCCTCCAGTTCAGCATCGGATAATCCGATCTCCCCCCAGTTGCCCGGGTCGGGTCCTTTGCCCTTCTCCTGCGATGGGCCGGCGACCGGTGGGGATGGTTCGCCGACATCCTCAGACCACTCGGCCGCTTCCAGGGGGTAGGCGTGATCGCTCTCGTTCCCAGAGATCCCACCAGGCGGGTCGACTTCAGTGTTCGACCTTCTCGACATCTCACCGGTCGCGTCCGATCCGGTGTCTGACTCAGGGGTAGAGTCGATGTCGGACTCCCGTTTGAAGACGGGCGTCTTTCGTTCGGCAGCCATAGCCAAACTGGCGTAGCGATCGGAGATCAGACGCAGCACCTCCGGGGACATGGATTCGGCCGCCTCGTCCACTATGGAAGTAAGTTCCTCCAGACTATTCTGCGTTTCATAGTGGCCCTCGCTAATTCTATTCGTAGTGCCAGAGGCTACGCTACTGACAGACTCTCGGTGTGTACGAGCCGTCCGCTTAGTTGCTAACGTCCAAGGTCCATCTTCGTCCTCGACGTCCTCGATCGTGGCGACCATGCGTCGACGATCGGTCTCGCCCCTGTCTGACACAGACAGGGGCGGATTCTGATTCTCCGTGTGTACACGGGCTGGGCTTTCTCCCGGGTGAGGGTTACTCGCTATGTCTCCGCCGACGGTCAACGACGCATCGACGGGCTTGGGGGAAGTGGCCGGGGCCGGGGACACGACTCGAGCGTAGGTGCGCTCCGGGGTCGTGGGGCGCTCCTCCGTGGCGGTTGGTGGGGGCGCAGCTAGTTCCCCTGTCTTCATGACGGCGCCGCGAGAATTGCGACGACGTAGGGTTCGGGCTGGGGTGGTTGGTATAGATTGGTTTGGTTGTTGCATGGTAGCGATGTTATGAGTTATAGGTCTTCGTCAGAGTCGGCGGTCACGGGAGATCAGTCCGCGAGGTAGCCAGAGCAGTGTGAAGAGAGGTAAAGCTTTTACTGTCAAAAATATGTGGCGGAAGCGTCCTAGAACGAGTTCCGACACAAGGTTTTCTGGGTAGTCAATCCACGAGTGACAGGGATAAGCAATGAAAATTGACTGGTGTCCCGATCGTACACCTCTATGTACTTATACTCCGATCGAACTATCTACGTAAATAATCACAACCAATGATGGGGAGTCATCAGAGTCAGGTAATCAATCAAAGAGATCAATCCGTCACACCTCCCAGGGGCAGAAAAAAAGGTGTTGGGTAGCCCACAGGCCCTTGAATTCTGCTTCAATAGATCAATTTGACGTTTGTCAAAACAACAGCCCAGGATATCAATTGGATGCTGGAGCAGTGACAGAACAAGCCTCCACCGCCTCCAGGGCTGGGGACCAAAAGCGGTTATTGTAGATTCAGCCACATAAACCATATTTCTGATCTTGTTTGTCCTAGTTGGAATGTCTGGGTATTCAAGAGAGACAGGTGGCTACATAGATCAGATGCTAGCACCAATAGCAGAACTGGCCTCCATGGCCTCCACAGCCAGTGACCAAAAGCGTTTTTTTGGGTTCAGCCACATAAACCATGTCCATGATGTTGAAGGTCTTCCTTATAATTATGAGGGTCCTTTAGTTAAATGTCTCACCACATGAATCAGATGCTGGAGCAAATGGCAGAACTGGCCTCCGCTGCCTCCACAGGTTATCACTTGAAGAGTCTGAATGAGATGACAATGTAACAGATATATATTCTCCTGGCTGACCACATTCTGTCATTTTCACCTCTACATGCTAGTTTAATTGCTGCAGAATGTTAAAATTAGAGGATGGGAGACCCTGGAGGCACTGGAGGCACATGCAAGATCCAATCAATGTCATCAATATCATCAATGCCATCAATAGCATCAAGAGCATCACCGATCATTGGTATATTGATCAGCCAATCAGATGATGAATAAACATCGAACATCTAGTATATTCACTCCTGAGAGACACAGACTACATGTATGCTCATACTGAAAGTGGATTAGTGGTCCCAGGACATGCCCCAATGACATATTGCATGCTTGTATCAGGGACATATGATTAAAAATCGGAGTTGGCAAATGAGCTGAAAGTACTCCACTGTACCACTCATCTTCAGTTGACTTTCAGCTCATTTGCCAACTCCGATTTTTAATCATATGTCCCTGATACAAGCATGCAATATGTCATTGGGGCATGTCCTGGGACCACTAATCCACTTTCAGTATGAGCATACATGTAGTCTGTGTCTCTCAGGAGTGAATATACTAGATGTTCGATGTTTATTTTTACGTAATAATTGGAGGTCCCTGGGGTGGCTGAGCACGGGATTTCAAACGCCCATCTCGGTCGTGCAACGCGCATCGCTCAAGATGTTGTCGACGTCCAACGACTCACGAGTCAGCCGACTTGCTTCAAAGCCCAGACACCAAATGCTCTTTCGGGCTCTGCAGTGTTCAGCAACCAGCCAGTGGATCTTCCAGAAGTTTTAAATAATTCCCATTCGGTCTCTCGATCGCCTACGACAAAGACGTCATCGTCGCGCTCGAAATGCTCATAACTGCATTTCGTCGATGCGGCTGTTACGTCATATTGACACTCTGAGGAACAACGTTTGCACTTGAGTGCGTATGGGGTCGAGTCTCAAATTTCTTCATCCGCTTCCATCCTCCACCCCCCAACTCGCTGATGAACATGCCTCACCAAGGATCCTGCCTCTGCGGACAGACAAAGATCGAGATCGCCACGACCCAGACTAGTCAAGTGCGTAGTGCTTTCAAAACAAGGACGAGCCTCATCACTGACATTGCAGATTGTCTGCCATTGCACCGACTGCCGCCAGACCAGCGGCAGCGCATTCAGCACCAACGCTCTCGTCCCCAAGGCCGACGTAAAAATCATCGGGCCCGTTAAGAATTACGACATGAAGGCCTTGTCGGGCAACATCGGTGAGCGGCGATCACCCTTGTAGTTCCAAGCCTCATCTGAGCTTCGACATATCTCAGTGACCCGCGTGTTTTGTGGCACGTGCGGTAGCGCCATCGCACATCTGAGTGCTGCATTCGGCGAGTCCCAGGCCATCCAGACTGGCAACTTCGAGGATTTTTCGATGATCCCAATTGAAACTGAACGTGCGTTGTTTCCTGCTTAGCTTGATTTGATTATTTACAAACGATGAATATCCTCTCTGCTTGTCCAGTCTTTGTGAAGGATCGATGGAGTGTGCTGGCTGCCTTATCTGGTGCAGCGCAGGTCCAGGCGATGTCTTGAGCGCTCTTCAAAACCCTCTGTAATTGTACAACAAGCAATGTAGATCAACAACGTCTAGTCTACCGTGAGAGGAAGTGAGGAGGTTCAGCTGATTTTCTCAAGCAGAACGTCGTGCACGGCCGACATTGACCGACATCATGCCAAGACTCCAACCCTTGGCGTTGATCATCGTTATGTAGAGGGAGCAAAACCATTTCCTCGCCCGGATGCAAATGGCATAAATTTTTGTTTGCATGGCTTATTGGAAAGATTTTTGCTTTGGTGGCCGATCAAGCCAGACTCGGATCACAGTCTCGAAATATGAGTCGCGTTCCCAGATCATGCCTCGTGGGGGAGGTTAGGGGAGGATTGGGCCCCAATCACTTGGTTGCCGTTCAATGGTGATGCCATCAAGTCGAGCTCCGCACATGTCTGCTCGCTGATTTTCTTACGGGGAGGTTAGCTGCAGGAAGATGTCAATTCACTTGCATCTTACAGCGGTTCCCGAAAACCTTGAGACTCACGAAAAAAATATTTTGTACGCATAGACATGATCGATCTTTGATGCCCCCCCTGTCTGCAATAAGCGGCCGAAGCGAGTAAAGATAGTTCTGCCATCCTTGCTAGACTCGTTGACAGTCACCATCATTGAAGACAGGAATGTCGTCTGGACGGTGTGCATCCATTCCTCCCTTGCCATTTCATCTCTTGCAATCCAATCCACGATCTCGTCAAGATACATTTCTGGCAAGTCTTGAAGCAGGGAACTGATATGGTGGAAAGGCATTGAGCCGAGCCGAGCCTAGCTCGCTTGTGTCTACGCATACAAAATTTTTTTTTGTGAGTCTCAAGGTTTTCGGGAACTGCTGTAAGATCTTTCGCACCATTCTCAAGCTTTTCATCCACTGGTCTGAATTTTTTTTCGAGAGTCACTAACGGGAAGTAGAATGATCGACAGCTGAGATCAAGATGATGTAATCTACTGACGTTCTTTCCACATCTTTTCATATCTGTTGGCGGGACGAAGCCTCAAGAGAGGAACAGTGAGTTGTACGGATATGAATCACATGATGGTCAGCATCATGACTCTACAGGCTCCTAAGCGAGCACCATCTGGTTCGAATGTCCGTGACAGGTCGCGAGTCGCCACCAACACGCGTCCTACGCATGCCGCATGAGGAAACGACGGATAAGGGCCGATGTGGGGACCGATAGAGCATATGGCGACGGAGAGACAGCAGGTTCGCATGACCTTTTTGCTCGCTGTTCATTATGTGTGTCGCTCATATGCAACGATTGGTGTGGAGATCGACGCAGCCGCGCATGGATTCCAGGTGGTTTCAACAGCTCTGCTTGCTGCAGACATGACTCGGATTGATTCGGATTGTCACGGGGCTGATGCCCAGGTGCATCATGTGGGCGCAGGAAGAAAGTGAAGGCACTTTAGATCTGGGCGATACGAGCCAATCGCCGCCAAGAACTCCGTCACGAGTGTCCCCGCCATCACGATTACGGATTGAAACTAAAGAAGCAGACCCGCACGATTCGTCCGCGAGTCGCTATGTGGACCATATGTCTTGCTTGGATCCATGTGCTGCCTTGCACCGGTATCAAGACTCTCGGCGGGCCAATGGTGGGGAAAGATTGCGTGAAATGAACGATAAAAGCCAGACGAGCTGCAATGGACTGTTCAGTTGCATTTGCTTCGCATCCTCCGCTCCTCCGTCCTCGTCTTCGTCTTCGACAAGGCACCGTTCCCGATGTTCAACAAGAGCGCCCTTCTCCTCGCTGTCTCGCTGGCCCTCTCGGTCTGCGCCGTCCCATCTCCGGCGCCCGAGGGAATCGCCATCCCCATCCGAGCCCGCAGCGCGCTGACGACCGCTGATGGCGTGTTCGACCACGACAAAGCCATTTCGGAGACTGTGAAGACGATCAACAAGCACCGCCAGAACCTGATCAACTTGAAGAACAACAAGGGTGAAGCGTTCTTCAATCCGGTGAGCTTCTTTTCGGAGCGTGATGGACTTCTGTGATTGAACGCATCCGCAGGGTGCTGAGATCAAGAGCATCGCGACTGTCCCTGCCGCCGTGCAGGCTCGGATGGAGGGCCGCAACGAGAAGCGCCAGAGCTTGGCACTCATTGATCAGCAGTCCGATAACGAGTGGACCGGCAGCGTGTCCATCGGCACGCCCGCGACGCGTTTCGTCATCGACTTCGACAGTGAGTGTCCCCGACCATCCACTATCTGGGGCTAACCATGTACAGCCGGCTCTTCTGACCTCTGGGTGCCCTCTTCCGCTTGCCGTTCAGGCTGCACGGGCAAGACGAAGTACACCGCCAGCCGTTCGTCGACCTCGACCTCCCAGTCTGGTTCGTTCTCCATCCAATACGGCGACGGATCCACTGTCTCTGGGCCCATCTACACCGATACCGGTCAGTCTTTCTTCTCTACCGCGCCGACTGCATCTCATGGTCTCATCCAGTATCCGTCGCCGGTGTCACCGTCACCCAGCAGTACCTCGCGGGTGTGACGACCCTCTCATCGCAATTCTCTGGCAGCCCCGAGGACGGTCTGCTCGGACTCGCGTTTCCGGCCATCTCCAACCTCGGCCAGGACCCGTACTTCCAGACGGCCATCAGCGAAGGTGCTGTCTCTGCTAACCGCTTCGGCTTCTACCTTGCCAGCACGGGTTCGACGCTCTACATTGGTGGAACCGACACCCGCAAGTACACCGGCGCAATCGAGTACAACACCATCACCTCGTCCTCTGGATTCTGGCAGGTGACCGGCGCGTCCGTCAAAGTGGGCACTAGCGTCGTCACCTCGAACGTGCAGACAATTGTGGATTCGGGAACGACCATTATGTACGGTCCTCCCGCGCTCGTCAAGCAGATCTTCGCCCAAGTCCCGGGAGCACAACTCTTCGATTCCGCCAACGGTGCGTGTTTGATTGCCTCGACCCCCAATCATTCGCCGATTTCTCATTCGCCGTTCTAGGATACTACTCGTACCCGTGCTCCACTCCCCCCAAGATCTCCTTCAACTACGGCGGCAAGGACTGGACAATCTCCGCCGCGAACCTGAACCTCGGCCGCACGTCATCGGGATCGAGCTCGTGCGTGGCTTCTCTGGCGGCTCAGAACCTCGGCCTGGGAACCCGTGTGTTCCTGCTTGGTGACTCGTTCATGAAGAACCAGTACACTGTGTTCGATGTCGACCGTAACGCTGTCGGCTTTGCCTCTTTCTAAATTATCGAATGACCCGGAAAATAATGAATACATCCTGCGACTTTTTGTCTGAGGCTCGCGTGATTTATCTACAGTTGTTGCCGGATGGCAATGCCGAAGTGGCTCGCAGCTGGCTCTGGCCAGTTTTGTCTTTGCCGAGCTACGCTCTCTTTCAATAATCGCCAGCCAGTTCAGCTCTAATAGGCCTTTATTTTTCGCGCGTGCATGCAATTAGACTCTCCTCCCGCCATCCCGGAGGTCTGTCCTTTGTATCATACCTCGCAGTAAGGGCCTTTTGTCTTTGATCAGATGGAAGGAGTCATATGCTGTTTTGCTGATTCCTTTGCAAACTAGTAAGGTGCAAGGTTTCTGGACCACTCGGATCTGTGCTTTAATGGAATTCATGACTCGGGACAGCATCTGTAAGACTGTGGCAAGGGAAAACAACTGGGATTTTCGGGTGAAAATGGCTGAGTCATACGGATGACTCCTCCTCGACATTCTGGCATCCTTTTGCCGAGCCAAAATATGCCGTTACACCTGCACAAATGGTTATCCTTGCGCACAGACTAATCAGAGATGACCATCAGTGCGTTGAATGCGAATACATTCGCCAGTCCGAGTGTATATTGACAATAGTCCAAACTCAGACCTGAAGAATGTTGCAAGTTCTATAAAAGCAGAAGCCATCCCTGTTTTGGACTTTGGGGCAGAACAGCTTCAGCGCTCAACACAGTGCGATATCACCGAGAAATCAGGTCGGGATCCGCACTGGCCAGCAGAACTTGATGAAGAATTCTCGTGCAAGCCCTGATATTTTCTCCTGGTTCGAACATCGTCATTGGTTCAATCGATTATCAAAGGGACATTTCCTCTCATTTCGATACGTGCTGCTGGGTTTGCTCAGGGTCTCTTTCTCAACACAAATGGACTCGAGCGAGCTTTTATAGGGTGCTACCAAGGTATCGTCGCACCCTTGACGTCCACAAACGCTCCATTCTCCGGTGTACCCATGGCTGAGTCGACGATAATCTTGCAAGTTTTCTCTGGCGGAGCACCATGCTCGGAAAATGCATTTGCAGCAGTTGTGGTATGGCCTGTTCGAGAGAATGTCAGTCATTGACATTGCTACATCCGCCAGGCCAGAACTCACCGGGACAGAGCGCCATCACGCGGATGCCCGACTTGGCCTCCTCCTCTTCAAACGCCCACTGGAGTACAAGATTGTTCAGCGCGGCCTTGCTGGCAGCATAGGTCGTGTAAATCGCCACCGGGACGACGCGGGGTCGTGCTTGATTCAAGGTCTGCGAGCCCAGTAGCGAGGATACATTGACGATCCGGCTGCCCTGCTTGAGCAGGGGTCGGAATGCATTCTTTACCGCCAGTGTGCCGACGACGTTGGTCGCGAAGATGGCGAGATCCGTTCCGGTGGGGATCCCCGCGCTGCCGTCGTGGTGAGTTCTCAAAGAGCGGGTGCATCAGCAAGACCCGAGGGCAACCCACTTGTTAACGAGAGCATCCAGACCAGACAGGCCCCGCTCCTTCAACGCTGCCGCGACGAAGACGGCCGCATCCTTCACTGTCTGCTCTTTGGTCAGGTCCATGTAAACCGGCAGGACAGCCGACGTAGGATGGATGTCTGATGCAAGGCTGGCGATCGCCTCCTGCGCCGCAGAGATGCGGCGCGCCCAGACTTTACATACCGGCTTGGGAGAGTGGCTTGTGATGGCTTGTAGTGGCTGTCGGAGTTTGAATTTGGCTGACGGGGCTTGGCTTGCGTGATGCGGGCTTGGGCGTGGCTTGTGAGTAATTTCTCCTCCTGATTGACATCGTCCCCGACGTTCCCGACGCTTTGGGTCTCCCACCGAAGTTAGGTTTATTTTACTAGGTACCATTTATGTAATTAAGTACTTCCCGACACTATTTGAGCTACGGAACGCTTGGCACTGATTCAGCTCTCGTTCAAGCCGGGGGTAATGACAAGCATCAGAAATTGGTTCTACTGAATGAGTTGCGCCGTCGTCTCATCCCTGTAATAGATGTATTTATTTAACAATATCCTATTTCTGTGAGGTCCCCCTGATCTGGCGCGTTGTCGGCGCCACAACAGGCCTGTTCCTCCTGAAGTTCTTGTTCTTCGGCCTCGGCTGTGGCCGCGGACCCTGCTGGAGCTCATCGTCATGCTCCCTCGCTCGTTTGGGTGTGATTGCGATCCCCGCGTTCGTGGGTACCGCTCCTCCAACCCGTCGATAAGCACGAAACTGGATGCTGGGATCATAAACACAGTGTTGACGACGAAACTCGATTCGGTCCCCGAGAGGATCCCCACGCTTGCCGTCAACAGCGTCGTTGTTCAACGCACGCATGACGTGGTGAATCTTCTCGATATGCGTGGCTATAAAAGCCCGCGCCTAGCAGTAGCCCACAGACATGTCACATTGTAGTTGCCTATGAGAAAAAAATTACAATGGACTCTCCGAACAATAAGGAACTTCGTATGTAGAGTTTAGAGGTCGAGATCAGTCGGAAGTCATCAAACAAGAGTTCTGGTGAGAACAGCGGGCACCTCAGTTACCACCGCCATCACCCGGTTGCACCCCCGCGGGGGTCCTCCTGGGTACCCTCAGACGTAGCTCTGAGGGTACCTAAAAGGTACCCCCCTGCGGGGCCCGCGGGGGGGATTTGGTCCATTTGGGGGCGGGGGCATATGCGGGGGTCAGCAGGGGGGGGTGAACGAAAATATATACATGTGACTTGTCTACATCTGTAAGAGCGGGTAGCTGGGCGGGAAAAAAAAATCAATCACGTGGAAGCACCGAGCGGGCGGGATGGCGGGCGAAAAAGCACGTGACAGATGGAACCAAAAATTTTAAAACGCTGGCGGGGGCTGGCGGGGGTGCGGGCGGGGTCATTACCGACCTCCCGCATGCCACGGCGGGTGGCGGGCGCATATTCACGTGACTTCATCCCGGCCATTTTGCCACCATTTGGTCGGGTTTTTGCATGCTCTCCACGATGGCGCACAATGCAGCGGATGGCGGCCAAAACGGTCACGTGACTGGGCGCAAAAAAAAACCAAATGGCTGCCGGAAAAAATTCCGATGCTATCCCAATTGTGTCTAGCTTCGATAATTAAGAAAGTGAAGCGCTGAGCGCAAAATGCCCGCCGCACTGCGGTAATGATGGGAATGTTCCCATCATTTTGCGGGGTCACCCGTGCGGTTGATCAGTTCCATGTTTAACCACTCGTGGTATTCGTTGCATTGTAGCCGCCTTTTTGAGGAAAAACAACAGCTTTTACAGAGTGTACTACTCTGCTCCCTGAGAAGCTCTGCACTGTGTAACTCTGCCTCACGCCGGGGATTATGATGTTGATCACAGAAAGAAATTCAAATAACCAGGGTAAAATAATCCTAGTGGTATTTCCACATGATTCAGGGCTCTGTATCATGGAATCCCAAAATTTTAGACCATTCAACTTGTCCTAAATCGCCCTTGACTATGAGTTTGGTGTTGTACACAATCTGTTGTTGTTGTGGGGTGCACGCGGGGGTGCGTGCGGGGGTGCGTGCGGGGGTGCGCGCGGGGGTGCGTGCGGGGGTAAGCGCTGGGCTGCTCCTAGTAATCTGCTGGCCTGGCTTGCTCTAGAAGCGTGAAGAGGACGGTTATGGAAATTTTCTTTGACAAACAGCGTTACACCACTTCGGTCTGGAATGAGAGCTCCCAATGAAACTGTTCACTGTCAGGGACTGGTAGGGGTCAGTGAAAGCTTGCATGATTGAACTCCGTGCACTGAATACTGCTGATTGACATTTGAGAGAATTAAAGGCCCCTCAAGTTCGATGAATGTTGAGGGAGGTGTGGAAGCATGAACAGTATGTTTTTGGGTGGGGTCAGAAGGCACTACTATTCAAGCATTCATTACCTGACCATGTAATGGTGCAACTCAGCTTCTGAAAATCCATCCCTTAAAATTCCATAGCCAGAAGAGGGGGGGGGGGCAGATCGATGTCGTGTATGAAAGATGTACAACAGGACGTTGTAAAAAAATATGTCGAAACTAATATACGGATGAATGTATGCAGATAAACCCCACGATCAAGAAAGGACATGCAAAATTGAACGTAACACCTTCATTTTTTCGCGAGCTCCTCCTGGACTGCGCTGCGAATAGCACCTGCCATCATTGCTTGGAAGGACGGGGCAGAGAAAAAGCTAAGCAGAGCGGTGGCGGGATCAGTCACTTGAGCAGCGGCGGCAGTCTCGGTCGATCCAGTCGCTGCCGTGGAAGTCGACGCTGTGGGTGCAGCAGCAGTGGCCGCGGGGGTATCGGCGGAGGTGTCGACGGGGGGTGCCGCGGGGGGTGCCGCGGGGGGTGCCGCGGGGGGTGCCGCGGGGGGTGCTGAAGAGGGTGCCGCCGTTCCTACGTTGGCTGGCGTCAACTGTGACACCAACGTCGGAGCTTGAGCTGAAACAACAGCCCCTTGCTTCTTGGTGGCAGCGCGAGGCGCCCGCGCAGCAGGGGGATCGTCCAGCGTTTGCTGTGAGCTGCTGGCAACTGCATTGACTTGGCGGGGGCGAGGGCGGGGGCGAGGGCGTTTCTGTGGGGGTGTCTTTGCCACTTCCTCCTCACTCTCAGGGGAAGAGAGCTCGGGGGACGGCGCGTTCATCTCTTGATAGCGACGCTTGTTCTGTCGCGGCAGCTTGCGCGTCAGAACTACTGGAAATGATTTAGATCTGCGCTTCTCTTTGGGGAGAATGAAGCCGAGGGGAAGATTGTCATGTCCATATAGGGTAGCGAGGTACTGACCGGCAGGACCTTCCTTTTGAGCATCCGATGTCTCCGAGAGAGCAGACGCAGTTGGGACGTATTCCGAGGCCGGTGTCGACTCCTGACGCTGCTTGCCTCCACCAACTTGGTGCGACGGTTGAGGTGGGGCAGCAGTGCTGGCCTTGGCACGCTTCGGATTGCGACGGGGAGCGGGAATGTCCACGGGATCAGCCTTGCGCTTCTTCCCACTGGCCTTGTTGACAGCAGGCGGGGGTAAGGCAGGCTGCGGCATGGGAGACGACGCTGCGTCAGTGACGGGAGGTGCGGCGGGGGGCGCGGCGGGGGGCGCGGCGGGGGGTGCAGCAAGGGGTGCAGCGAGGGGTGCGGCGGGGGTTGCGGCGGGGGGTGCGGCGGGGAGGTGACCACGGCGCTTGCGCGTTGGTGAGCTCAATACGACAGGAGCAGCCCCAGGTGCATGCAAAGCCGGTTGGGAGACCACAGGAAGAGCGTAGTCCCCAGCTTCGTTCTTCACCACGATGCTGAAGTCCAAGTATCGTCGCGTTGGGTCTGGGTCCAAGAGGTTCAGCCTGAAGTAGCACGGGTCCCCCTGTCCAGTCACCCCGAGGACGAACTCGGAACCACTGAAAGCAATGGTTGTTCCAACGCGCTGGGGGAACGCAGCGAGCACGGGCATTCCTGGAATGAAGGTCAATTCGTGCCAAAAGGTGTTTATCAGGAAGCGCTCACGGGGATCGCGGCAGTCGTTGCCAAAAAAGGAAATACCCGCTGGCTCGCGCCCCTCGAAGACCTCGTTCAGGGAGAACTTGATGGCGGCCGCCAGTGAGCTCTGTTGCGATGCCGGCAACGAGCGAATGCCCTTGTCTGCGTGTCCGAGCTTCGTCGGAAGGGGAAGAAGATGGGGCCATCCGAGGACCATGTACCCTGCCTTGAAAAGCGCCGGACCGGCGGTCTTCCATGGGAACGTCCTTTGGCTCATGCTTGTCAACGTACCAAGCGGTTCGCTCCCGACTTGAGCCATTGACAACGCGCTCAGGTCGTCAAGGAGGTTGTCCCACAAGCGGTTCACCTTCATCGTCCGTTTTGAGCGCAAGGTGGAAGGACCGTCCAAAGCATCCAAGATGTTCTGGATGCCCTCCTCAACCTCCCGCTGCGACATCGGAGCCGTCTCCAGCGGCTGAAGGGGGTGACGTGGGGGAGCCCGTGCCCGCAACTGAGCCAGGGAGTCAGCAGGAGACGAGGGAACAGTGGTGCGCGCAGAGGCACGGGTGGGGGTGTCGGCGGGGGCGCGGGCGGGGGTGCGAGCGGGGGCGCGGACGGGGGTGCGAACGGGGGTGATGGTGGGAGCACGTGCAGGGCTTGAGGTGGGGTCGTCCGCCCCGGTGGCATCTGGACCGTCTTCGCCTTCGAGCAGAGCGTCGCGTGCCTGATCTGCGTCGTGGATCATCAAGCCACTGGAATGAAGATAAGTCAATAAACTGTTCCATCCACATGGGTAAAGGAGAGACTCACGCAACGTGATGCTGAGCTCGACTGAGCAGTTCTTCGTCGCTCAGCTCCCCATGGTACAGAGTGGACATGAACTGAGATAATCCCTCACTTGCAACAAGGGACGCAAGGCGGCTGTCATGCGATGCAACGCCTCCGAGTGCAATCATGAGCACTTGGAAGTTGCCACTGGTCTCGCCACGCTTGATCTGAATTGGATTAGAAGGGATGGTAAGCTGGATGGTAAGGTGCTCACCAGGGCCTTCATTTTGCCCAGCCATCCATCAAAAAGTTTTTGCCGGTTTCCCAGCGTCTGCAACTCCGTCATTTGCTCCCACTCGACGAAGGTGTCGAGAATCTCCTCCAGCCCAGTGGAGCCGTAACGCTTCTGGAACTTCAACCACGAGTTGGAGAGCTCTGGAGATCGTTGGCGCGGTGGGAGCTGGCCTGGGAACTGGCTGAGATCACCACCAGTGCCCCGTTGCCACTCGCGGCCTCGATAGCGGGGATTGTTCGCGTAGCGCTGGTACACGTTCCAATAGTAGTTCCGAGCGCGGAACAGCCTCGGGTATTGCTCGTGCAACTTGGCTTCGACTTTGGCCTCGCTCCAGCCGGTCAGCTTCGCGGTTTTCACGATGAGGAGGCCGATCGCCTCTGCGGTTTCCGATACGAGTTCGCGTTGCTCTTTCGAACGTTCCTTCAAGATCCGCATCTGTTCCACATCCTCAGCCGGGATGTCAGGGGAATTTTCGCGGGAACCAGCGGTGACGGCGTCTGCGGCGGGGGTTGCGGCGGGGGGTGAGACAGGGAGTGCGACATTGTCGTCAGCATCCATCAGAGAAGTGGCGGTATTGGTGACGGGGTCGGCGGCGGGGGGTGCGGCGGGGGGTGCGGCGGGGGGTGCGGCGGGGGGTGCGGCAGTGTCACCAGCATTCATCGTAGAAGTGGCGGTATGTGGACTGAGAAGCGAGGGCCCGGTTTCGTTGCCATAACCACTGTATTGTCATCAGTAAACACGTCAGGGAGGATCGAGAAGTTTTCGCCACTCACTCGTCATCGTCCCAATGTTCGGCGAATGTCTGCTGATGG